GGAGATCTTTCTCAAATTATTTTCAGATAACGCTACATCGTGTGGTACGTACAGTGTATTGCTCGAATGTTAAAACTTGGTAGGTCCGTGTCCGGTCCATCGGTAAACACGTTTTTTGTGAGCGTGAAGAATGTATAGTTTTCAGCTATCTTCTTGTATAAATTATTTTCGAAAGCTAACCGCTTTGTCGTTTGACACGCGGCTAATCGTTCGGCGCCGTCAAAAGTTAGCGTTAGAAAAAAAAAAGACAACTAACGTTCCAGTCGACCGCATTCGTTTTGTCGCGCGTGTACCCAACAAAAATAGCTTACAGTTTTTTTTCCCTTTTTTTTTAAATGTGTCGTCTCACTTTCCTTGGGAAAATACATACTACATGAAACATAAAATACATTGGGAAAAGACGAGAATTCAGCCACCAGTAGTGTTCGAAACTGCGCCTACGCAGGCTGCGCCTATCGAAATCACAGTCCACTCGGTTAGGGTTAGCAGGTACGCCGGTGAGAGCCTAGCCTCAAACCCATTGACTAGGTTCGAAAGCGGTTTATTGCCCCTGGGGTCGAGTGTTTCTTGGAAATGTGTATAGTAATCGAAAGTTCGCGAAAAGCAGCGCTTGGTAAGTTCCGAGCATGTCGTTATCTCTCCGCAGCCGATGGGACTGTGGTATTTCCCTATTAGGGAGTCGAGCAATAAATCAAGAAGCAAGCAGCTCGAACATAAAGACTGTCTGCATGTTTGGTCATTCTGCCAAAAGCGTTTAAACGCGGTAGCTTAATAGGGTGTGGCTCTCTTAGTTTGGAAAGTGCCTAGGGCAGGATGACCCTAAGTCTTCAAGTGCCCTGGGCGGGTCAACACCTCCTAGACAGTTTCCAAAGCCTGCGCGTCACGTCGCATGACGTCACGTCCCGGAGGCCTGCACGGGTGCTGATTGTATGCGAGTGCCGCGTCAGCGTTCGCGTGGGACTCGTTTCCTATCATAGTCCCACGCGAAGGCTAACGCGGCACTCGAATCCAATCAGCGCCCGTGTAGGCCTCCGGGACGTGATGTCATGCCACGTGACACGCAGGCTTGAAAGCTGTCTAGTAGGCGCTAGGCGGGTGGGACGTAGGTCAGGACTCTGTATGGAAAGAGACCACGTCACACGGAATCATCTCTTTGTGACTTTGCGCGCGCTTCCATTCAGCACCACCCGGATACAAAACCTTAGCTCACAATTTTCTGGGTCACCAAGAGAAAAGAATGCGCTGTCCTGCCATTTTCCCCCCTCCTCGTTCCGCGCGCTCGTTGTACGGCATCTGTTTCTGCTCCTGTCTTTCTTGCCCTTTCCACCCCTCTAAGCTCCGCGCGCTTTCTCACACTTCCTGCTTGCGATCCTCCAGTTCCTGCATGCTGGGTCCGTAGCTCAGTCAGCAGAGCACTCAGCTTCCAGGCTGGCTGACCGGGTTCATTATCGAGCACCAATTGCCGGTATTCTTTTACTTTTTTAAGATTGTTTGGCGGTTGTGGATTGACCGACCTACACATTTCGTGTTTACGCGGCTCCGGTGGTTGGTTGGTCCCATAAATCTACGGCTTTAATAGCGCTTCAATAGGCCACTGTCTGTGTTTCTTAGGTTCTTAATAAATATAAGAGTCGACGGAAGAAGGCGAGCGGACATGAACATCGCTGTCATCGCAGTGTCCGTTTCGGTGACAAGGAACTTGGACATCGCCGTAAGCTGGTAATGAAAATCTCTTCACCGCTGGTCAATCGCAGCAGGCGGCAATGTACCGGTCCCGCTTGGTCCCGCCGTGTAGATTAGGACCCCAGAACACGAGTTCCAACCGAACGCTGAGGCAGCACTCGTGTTCAATCTATGTTCCGTGGTGCCAGCTTTCGGTGACTCCCAAAATTAAGCACTACGTCTCCTTTATCAAAAAGGTGTTAAGAGTGTATATGGTCAGGCGATGAAAGGCAAGCGGAGTTCATAGCTTGGATAGCTGCGCCAGTTGGTTCATGTCGGTGTGTAGAAAGATGAACGATTGATTTACCCGGCCAGCACGCAGCTTCCACTGGCCTACCAACCTTACGGCGAACATTTTCTGACGTGTCAGTCAACTGGCATTAGCATCGGAGAAAGCTTATCAGGTTAGGAGCTTCGCCGAAGGCCGTTTTCAAAACGGTTGAACAAGTTCCACATTTGGGGCCTCAATCGGGACCCTTGACCGAGACGTGTTTTCACGTGTGCGTCGCAAACGACAGCTGGTGCCCAGTGTGAGGCGCAATGTCAAGTGACTGGCTTATGCCTGCTGTCGTTTGAGGACACTGACCTGTGATCCAACCTCCACGCATAACTGCCCCAACTTTTGATTCTGGCAAAGGCCCGAAAATACATTTTCGTATCTTGGCTTCGTCGCTGGAATTACCTTCAGGCTTCAAGCGACGATTCAACAGCGCAGGATAAAGTGCAATAAAATAAAAATAAAAACCCTTTCGCGGGAGGATGCAGTAACTTCTGTGCGTGCAATTGTGCTCAAAATGCGGATCAGAATGGCACGACAATGTGGAATAATCATACCGTTCAAAAGACCAGCTTCATTAAAAATTAAAGCAAAGCCTGAGAGCACTAAAGTTTACGTAACTCTGAGACCGAAAATTTGGTAATGCGGAGTGTTCACCGGCTTGCCTGGGTTTCCGCTGTCTATTCAGATAACGTATTATTCAGTGCATGCACACCTATGCGCGCGTTGGTATTTGGAAGTTAGTGACGGCTGTAATTTTCAAAATTTTAAAGCGACAATAAAGTGCTTTTTTAGAAACTTGTCTTCTTGTCATAACTCATTCTACAAGATCTAAGCATCCTTGAAAAAAAAAAGGAAATTACATTCATGCACGGCCAATTTGCATATTAAAAACAATGATCAAAGCTCCCTACACTTACCATTAGGACAGAACAACAGATGACGCGAACGAACCTTCATGATTACGGTCGCGACGACGGACGGCGCTTGTCAGCCACTCGCGAGCGATGGGTGTCCACGTGGACGAGCGGGACTGGTCGGCCGCTCTTCCGCGTGGGAACCCATTGCTTGAGAGTGGTTGACAAGCGCCGTCCATTGTTCGACCATACTTGGATGGATGGATGGATAAATCCGGCTGAGCCCTTTGGATCGGGCGATAGCTTACGCCACCTAGCAATTTTGTTTTACCATTTAAGCTTAGAATATTTATATCTGAAAACTATATTAACTCCGCTCTGAAAAGAAAGTGAGGCTATAAAACCCCCTTGTCTTCAGTTAGGTAGCGCCATCTGTCGTTATCCGACATTAGCATGTGTAGCAATCTTTGATCACTTTTTTAATATGCCAATGGGCCCCCATGAATATAATTTCGGTTCCTTTTAGGATGCTTAGAGCTCGTTTATTGAGCTATATGACCATAAAACTATGATCTCATAACGCACTTTAGTGCCCTTTTAATACGATATATTCACAATAACCTTTTTATATGGCGTGCTTCTCTAAAGATAATGTTGTCCTATACCTCTCTGTCTTCTAGCTTACGGATTTCGAATGCTTACGTGCGTCTGTTATATGGAGCGTCAAAGACAAAGTTCTACTTCGAAGCTCTCGCTGACATCTCTATACATTCATGTGCACAAGGTTTTTCATCATCATAGACGCGAGGGTAAATAGCATTCGTAAGACCGCACGATCTATGCTAACTGGTTACGTATGCTGCCGAATAAAATACTTACTAGGGCCTGATGAAATTACGAGGATCGTGCGATCAAAACACTCTTTGTTTACACCCTTGATGAAAATCTTACTCAAGTGCACGTTAATTATTTATTTCTCTTATTCTCCATTTATCTACACCCAAACACATTGAATGTGGAACCAACTCCACCTAAAGCCGGCAAGGGGTAGAAATTTGGGACGAGTGCTGCGTCAGAATTTAACCGGATCTCATGTCTTGGCCGATCGAGCAAGAGCGTCAGCCGAAAACTGACGCAGCGCTCTTGTTCAATCTGTTCCACGCACTAGCCTAAGGCCTAGGGTAGGGGACCTAGAAATTCAGTACTACGGCTTTGCGTTATTATGTAGAATGTCCTGGTGGAACAAGCTTCTACAGAAAGGAGGGAAGCTTTCTCCATCTTTGGGGCCGAAAAGGTAGACCGAGGGTACTTGATTACTGGTTCTCCGTGAGGCTTTAAGGACGCGGTGACGAGAAAACCGAAAGGTACGAGTATTTCTGGCATGAAATTTTTATGGGCTACTATATATTCACCAAGTTTCACAAATGTTTACGTAATAAAGCAAATCAACTTTTTAACTTAAAACGAAAGAAACACACAAGAGGACGAAACAGACGACACAGCTCTTGTGTGTTTCTTTTGTTTTAAGTCAATGTAGATTACCAACACCCTCAAGTCTATAATCAACTTTTTACTTTACAGAATTCTCAAATGACAAGAGCCGTAACCGTGAACAGTTGCTCCTTAGATTTAAGTTTTGTTCACAGTCAAAACTTACAAATATATTGTCGCGTGTAATGCTTCAGCGTCATAATTAGCTCTTTTTCTTGTGTGTGTGTACGGCTAAACTCATTTAAGCGTAGCATTTGCGAGCTGCAAAATGCCTCTGTGCAAAAGCAGCGTCACGTGTGACCGATCCAATTCAGCTACAATGCGCTGTTCAAGGACTATCGCCAATGTCTTGTCCGTTACAAAAAAAGAAAAAAAGAAGTAGTACATTCATAGTACAGTTGTCAAGCACCGAATTATCGTTCACCTTTTTGAACCTACAACAATAGCTGTTAAGCAATGCCTAGAGTTGATCGATTCCCTTCCTGGAGGCCAAGGCACCACTAAATTGTGCGCTAATTCACCTTAGCCCCACTGAAAGTCTTACAGTTGTACAAAGAAATAAAAAAAATTAACGTGACTTTCGTATACATATAAAAAAAAAATTTGTTGACGAAAAAACACAAGACCACTAAAAAAGAAGAACCGTAACTTACTTGATACAAGTAGCAATCGTAAAACAGTGGAGTAGCTTGAATGCATTTTCGTTATCAAGTTACACCCGGCAAGGTGTTCTGCTGCTGTGTGGCTATTTTAAAGGCAAGTGTCGCAGTGACGTTGTCTATTGGAGAGGAACGAACTCAAGTTCTCTTATAGTAAGAATCAACTTCCGCGACTTCACTTCATTGTCCGCTCTTGAATCTGCCCTTTAACTTACTTCCTGTTTTTAACGACGTAAATCCAATCCTAGGGCTCTAACATCACGGCCAACGTTATTTCGCGACCTTTACATTAATTAAGTTTGCTTGCTACATTTAAAGCGGATGTTGACGTAACGTGACCCATGCACTATGAGTTTCCCCGCTAACCTTAGAGGGGACCCGACCACCACGTGACCTAAGCAATGTAAGTTTCGCCATACATTTGCCGGGAAAATTGCTTTCACCATATCCAAAAGCGCTCCATGCTCGACCTTTTAGAGGGGAAAATGGTAGCGCGTGCTTGTACGTGCAAGAAAGAAACAAACAAAAAAGCGCTTCTTGACCACTCCAAATCTACTTGGCGAATTCCCCATAGGACGTTGCTTCTGGAAAGCCTGCCCTCGTTTTGTTTTCACAAATTTAGTAGTCACTTAAAACAACACAATCAATCATTTCATAGATTTATAGAGCGCGCCACTGTTAGTGCGAACAAGGTACTTATATTTCTTTCCCTAACAGAAAGGTGTTTAAAGATAACTAGTAGTGTGGCGGAATCAGGCTATATTCACCATAAACATAGGGGGTAAGTGTTGACATTCGACGCTCCCTCACTAGGAAAGATACAAAAACACGACGATGTCGTTTTGATGCTAGCCGTGTCGCATAATGCATGAACGATGTTAGTTCCTAAGACGGATCATTTAGCTCAAGCGTAGGCCACGGCCATGAAGGCAGCCGTGTTCAATAAGATATAAAACTATACAGTTAACAAGCTATATTTATAGAAATAAGTTTGTTTTTTCGTCTATATTTTCATAATCCGCCTGATCCGATAAGAACGTAAAGACATTTTTATAGCGTGCCTTTGTACGGCAGCATCCGTTGGTGGCCAGGCTTCGCGGAAGATTCGGCACGTGTATGACGTTCGGGGGGACTCCTTAAATGCGTATAGTGGCAAACGTTTTCTGATAAATATTGTGAGAAATTACAGTGTCACGGCGCAATGCGACGTGTCTCTGAGTAGTTTTTTTTTTTTTTTTCCTCTTTATCCTTTTATTCTTTTCCATTATGCTTTCTCCACAAAAACAACTTCACGGTGGTAAGGCCATTAGCTAGAAGCGCAGTTGCCATTCGCGCTCGACAACCAAATGTGGTGATATATCGAGTTTTTTCAACAATGAAACGGGTGATAAATATTGTACTATGTAGGGGTTCTTTACGGAGCTCCCTCTACTAATAATCTTCCGCCCGATCGGTATGCGCCCCGCTCGTCACCAAAGGAGTGACATAACACAACGAAAACACAACGAATAGGTTTACTGTACTTCCCGGTTGCCCGTCATCGAGAGCCGGCAGTCCGGGCCCGCAGACCGTTGTTGTCGCCCGTCGTTCAGAGCTCACAGTCGGAGTCCGCGCCCAGGCCTGCGGATCGTCCTTCCCACGAGAGCGCGGCGTAGCCTTGCTGTCCCGGGCTATCACTGCCCGAGTCTCGCTGCGGAACCACCCCGAGATCGTCATAGCTCAGGTCATAAGGGCCAGGGCTCGCCGTTTCCACCGGTCCGGACTTCGAACCTCGCTGGTTGATTGCTCCGGGGTTCGCCATGGGCCAGGCCAGGCAGCCCGGCTCCGGCGTTCTTGCCCAGCTCCAGCCTCGCTCAGCGCGCACTGTCGCGCGCCAGCTCGTGACTTCTCCGCCAACCGCCTGTGACGTGCCCTCTGCCTCGTGTTTCACCCTCGGCTCCCACAACTATAACAACAAAACTAGGTGGCCACTTCAATTTGACATGACTATCAGTCTCTTGAGTTTTACGACATCACACTCTTAGAGTGAGTGCATGGTCCTTTGGAATCCCTATTAGAACAAATCTGCCGCGAACTTAGAAAAAAGCAAAAAACAACTGCATGACGTTTCCCCGCCTGACTGAACTAAAAGCCCACGCCTGGCCACATAGCGATAATGGCTAAGTGCTTAGGGACTTAGTCAATAGTAGACATCACCTTTCTTTCTTGAGTTGAATTTGCGGTACCATTTGTTATTCGGTGTTATTAAGTTGCTTCTATGTTTTAAATAGCCTGGAAAAGTTATACCATTAAGTAATTTTTATATAACGGGATTACGTCATATTTAAATGATTGAAAATAAAACATTTAATCTCTGACAGGTGCGGCGACTGAATGACAACTGCAAAACCAAAAATTTAAGACCGTCTTTTTAAAATGGAGTCGTTAGACCTCAAGTCACTATATATTTGATTCAGGTCGATCGAAGGTCAAAAATACTGTCACGAAGGAACAGGCGAGGAAACACATAATAACTGGGGGATACTGAAAGGTTTAATGAAGCGAACTTGTGCCCAAAAATAAAAAGGAAACAGAAGATAACAGCAGAGTGTCGCGACCGTCGAAGTCGGCGTAACAGCAGAGTCGAACGCTGAGGCGAAACTGACTCCGGTCGCCATGCGGAGTTCCTTACATACAGGTCCCCTCAAAGTAAAAGGAGCGCCGGGGCGGTGACCGAACTGCGTCGCCGCGCTATCTAGCAGCGCCGGCTGGAACTGATAGGCTACACCTGCGCATTCTAACGTGCCTTCCGCTGGGGCCTCCGTCTTTCTTGTTTGATCCTCGCATTATCGGCGCCTCAAGCTGCCAAGCGCTGTTCCGATAAACACCGCTAGGTGTTCGGCTCACAAGCGGAGATAACGCTGAGGGCAAGTGGGAAAGGGCCAGTGTTGCCGATGAGCACCGCCCTTTGTGTTATCAGGCGCCGATTTTAGGAAGATCGTTGCGCCGCTCGAACCACCGATAACGTGTGGGTTGGAAGAAAAAAACGGAGGCCCCAGCGGAAGGCACGTTCGCATGCGCAGATGTAGCCTATCAGTTCCAGCCGGCACTGCTAGATAGCGCGGCGATGCAGTTCGGTCTCCGCTCCGGCGCTCCGTTTTACTTTGAGGGGACCTGTACCCTCGTGGGTTTCTGGAACATTCGGCGTAGAACTTTCGGCGCGTAGAAAATTTGGATCTCGATCAGACTAGAATGTTCTCGAACTTCCGAGAATGCCAAGTTACAAGAATAAATAAAAGGACAGTCCGCTGACTGGAATCGAACCAACACCCTCCGCGCGACAGTCAAGGGCGGTAACCTCTCGGTCACGCACTATTTTTTTTATTGCCGATTTTAACAATGAACACAAACTCAGCAATCAATGACAATTACAATATTAAAAACTTGTGCACAACACATAGGGTTCGAGCATGAATGTTAAAATTTTCTCAAGTTCTCTAGAGCGTCCAAAATTGGCACCCAGTCGGGCGAACACCATTCCGCAAAACACAATCGAACGGGCCACGCGTTCACAGCAGCATGCCTTACAGCCATTCTACTGCACGATATTGCATGCAGGCCCAGAAGCATGAAAAGGTCAACCGGAATTTCGCAGTCTTTGTGAACATGAAGGAACCTGATACCATGCGGTGTAAAAGTAAAATCTTTTGTAATAGTTTTCTGGAGAACATCCTAAAAAAGAAAGGCGTCCCAGCAGTCTAAAAATACATGTTCCGTAGTTTCGGGCTTTTTGCACAGCAAACAGTCAATGCCCCAAGGGACAAACAGTTTTCTCTCATGAAGCGAAGTTTTTACTGGGAGAGTATTTGTGTGTAACTTAAAGAAGAAGGTTTTAACAGAAGGCGGGATTGCCATTTTCTTGGCTCTAGATAACAGGTCCTGCCCTGGACCAGCATAAAACATAGAACGGTAGACAGGTACAGGAAAGACAGCATTTATAATATCTCGCGTAAGGCGTTTCCGGGTGACACCCGAGAAGTATTCAAAAGAGAACCGTGCAGTCAAAAACCGGCAAGCGTCAATCACCTCCCGAAGAAAACTACCAATTCGCCTTTGCTTTTTGTAACAAATAGAAACAACGAACGAAGAAATTTCCTCCGCAAGTCGAGTCTGAATGACAGCACGAAGAAAAGGATTAGTTTGCTCTCTAAAAAACAAAAACCGCAATACAACTTGCTTAACAAACATATGTGATAGGAAAAGCCCGCCTTTATTGACGCAGCGAAACAGATTATCGCGACATCCTCTTTTCCACCCAGACCTCCAAATAAATACAACAAAAACACGGTGTAATTTTTGTACATTTACTCTAGCGCAAGCCAAAACTTGAAGCACATACCAAAACTTTGCAATTAAAGAAATGTTGCAGACAGTGGCACGCGTAAAAATTGACATATCCCACCCACCCTATTTACCCGCTTTCTCTCGCGTCTCTTGAATTACCGTCGACCAATATTGATTTGGTCGTTTATAATGTTGCAGTGGAACACCAAGATAATCAATTGGCGTTGGCATAACACATATCTTCAAAGACTTCGGGCTTCACGGACCATGTCCCATGCCAGAGGCCACAGCATTTCTGCCAAGCAACGGCGGCGCCGATTAGCTCGCAATAGGACTTTACTTCACGCACCGCTTCGACAATACTTCTGTACTTCTCTTTGAAAAAAAAAAAATATAGCAACATCATCGGCATAAGTCAGAAGTTTTACTTCTATATCTTGGAGAAAAATTCCATTTATAAGTCTAGTCTTAGCTATGTTTCCACAAAAGGGCTTTAGAAATATACTGAATAGCAACGGGGACAGTGGGCAACCTTGCCTGACGGATGACTGTACACTAATACGCGTTGTAAGCTTCCCGTTAATTATGAGTTGGGTAGTACATCCTGTATATGCCAAGCGAACAAAATGTAATATTTTGTGTACTCTAACGTGATGCAATATTTTATGTGCTGTACACGATCAAAGGCCTTCTCTAGGTCGATCTGAATCATGGCGACTTTAT